CTTTTGTGACCTGACAAATAAAGCCAGTGGGGAAGCCAGATTTATTTAACAACCGTTTTACTAACTTAACTGCAGTGACTCCCTTAACAACTATGGCAAGAAAGGTCATACAATCTGACAAAATTCACTTAACAACTGTCTTCCTTGGCAATGGAAATTTTGGGATCAATTGTGGTTGTTAAGTCAAGAAATACTTGTATTAATCACAAACCTACTGTCTCCTCTGTTAATTTGCTGTTTCAGGTTCACTTTAAAATGTAATTTGCATTTAAATACAGTCCACATTAATCCAATGACAAAATAGAATTATATGATTAAAACAATCATGTTAACAATTCCTTCCTTCTTGCCTGCCTGCCTGCTTGCTTGTGTGAAAGCCTTCCTTGCAAAGAACAACCCATGGAGAATAATGAAGTAAATCCCAGTGGAAACTGTGTCCCTAAAGATTATGTGATTTGCTCAGAAAAACAGAAATTAAGCCTATTAAACTTGAGGGACCAAATTCTGCAGAATATTGAAGCAAATAGAAACAAATGGAAGGATAGTAAAGAAGCTGTTAACAAAGGTACGGATAGTATATACTGACATACTTGGGTTTGATCTTAATGCAGATATTCATAGAAACAAAATTATATATGTGTGTGTGTGTGTGTGTGTGTATTTATATATATATGTATGTGTATCTATCTATATCTACCTACCTACTTACCTACCTACCTATCTGAGAGATAATTTGAGATGGAGTACCAATAAAAATTTCTATACTTTCTATACTGTGGTTTATAAAATCAGTATAAAATCTATACTGTTTACAAAACAACCTCCCCTGAAAATTCATGACTCTACAGAAATGGACACTTTCTTCTCCTTCCTTCTTTCCTGAGTGCAGAGTTCCTCCTTCATTTTCTTAATAATTTGGGGGACTAATATGTTGTCCAATAGCTGCAAAGGTCAGACAGTAAATATTGTGGGTAGAGCTGTAATGATCAGATTCTCAAAGCAGAAATCAGTTTTTAAAGGTATTTTTGACTTGTACCAATCAATTCAAAACAGAAAACCAAGCAAAAACAAATTTATTTTCTTTACTGCTGAGCCATAAACTTCCTGAGAGTAGCTGGAAACTAAATAAACATGATACAATATTGGAATAAAAATAAACAGTATGCAGAGGTGATAGAGGGATCTTTGATGGGATGAGCGGGCTTTCAGATGACAAAAGAGCTTTGTGCTGTTGTACTAAAAGTCCCATTCTTGTGACATATGAAAGAAGCAAAACTTGGATTGCAACAGTTTGATTCAGTTTGATTGGACAGCCATTTGTTTAGAATGGCATAGGGACTCCTGCTTGAGCAAGGGGTTGGACTAGAAGACCTCCAAGGTCCCTTCCAACTCTGTTAGTCAGTTCTGTTCTGAATCTGCATATGCTATTTGGTTGAAATCATTGGATCTCTTGAGAATGCAAATAAATATATCAATAAAACGTGAGAATTAAACAAGGAAATTTTTTATATGAGTGTCAGTCTAAACTCATGAGATATAAACATAAGCGTTTTTTTTTAAAAAAATATATGACTAAAATAAACATAGGTAACCATTTAAATACCCCAAATTATTCTACCTACAAAGAATTGATTATGGAGAGAGAGAGAAAGAAAGTGGTCGTAGTTCTAGTTGGTGCCTAGGACATAAAAGAAGATGAATGTTCAAATTTAATTTATATTCAGGTGGAAAAATTGCTATGGAAGTCTAAAATATGTAGCTCCAAAATAAGGGTTCTGATTTAAAAAAAAAAAAAAATCAAATTGACAGGGAAAATAAAAAGAGTAAGCCATTACTCAAGCCATTATATTAAAATTTCCCCTGGAATATATCACGTTATCAGGAAAAATGCCACTAAACCCAAGAAGTAAAAAAAAAATGGTTAATAAGCATTGTCAAGCAAGATTCTAGAAGGAAAGAAAGGCTTCATCCGCAAATGGGTCTTTTCCAAAATAGAACAAAAAATAAAGCAAGCTTCCATAAAAGAGATGCAGGCAAGGAAAAAGAGCCACTCAATAGTAGCCTGTTTCCAGGATCAAAATGCTGAAAGAATTCTTGGTGTCGGCTTTTTCACTGCAGAAATTGTAGGGCAATCCTTTGCCTGACATTAAATTTTCCAGAACGGAGACTAGGGAGTTTAACCAATTAGTATAAAAAAAGTATTTTGAAAAGTATAAAGAAGTAGTATTATTGTGACAAACTGAACAGTCTTTAATTGGAGCTCCTGATCTAAAAAAGGTTGTCCATCCTTATGTCTATACTTGCAGCTTATTTCTCCTTTGTAAGTGGGAGCTCTGTGCTATTTCTTAGCTTTCTGCATATGCAAAAATACACTAAAATGAGAAAAATGTACAACCGAGATAGGAAAATTGTAAGAACAAATTCAATGAAAAAGAAAAAGCACTCTAGGAAAATTCACAAGTGCTGCATAATAGATTATTTTAACAGTCTTTCTTCCTATAAGCTTAGAGGTGTTTTTTTTTTTTAAAAAAAAAAAACCTTTTTAACACTGTTTGAACATTCACTTTTCAGGAGAACCACTAGATAAGGAAAGCAACAAGGCTAAAAAACAAGTCACAATTAAATCTAAAGGACAGAAAGGAAAATCTCAGAAAACAACGAAGGAAACACCCCCACTTTCTAGCCCAAAGGATTACTGTACTGCAGCACAAAATCCCTCAACTTGCCGCTGTCAACTTTGTATCAGCAAAGCATTTGAACCAATGGAGGTCAGCTTCATAGTTTACAATGCAAACTCATCAGAATTGTCACAACCACAGCAGGATACTGAAGTCATGGATGTCACGGAATCATATGGTATGAAAAGCTCTCTTCTATCTCAATTGTTGCCTTTGTAGAGTCATTCTTTTTGTCATGCAAAATGCAGTTCATTATAAATTCAGGTAAGGGGGGGAAAACCTTTTTTATTCATATATATAATTTTTTTTACCCATTGTTCTAGAAAACTATAGATAAAATAGATTTAAAAGGTAAAGGTTCCCCTCGCACATACGTGCTAGTCGTTTCTGGCTCTAGGGGGCAGTGCTCATCTCTGTTACAAAGCCGAAGAGCCGGTGCTGTCTGAAGACATCTCCGTGGTCATGTGGCCGGCATGATTAAACGCCGAAGGCGCATGGAACACTGTTACCTTCCCACCAAAGTGGTCCCTATTTTTCCACTTGCATTTTTACATGCTTTCGAACTGCTAGGTTGGCAGAAGCTGGGACAAGTAACGGGAGGTCACTCCGTTACGCAGCGCTAGGAATTCGAACCGCCAAACTGCCAACCTTTCTGATCGACAAACAGCCACTGAGCCACCGCGTCCCTTACACACCAGCAAATCTATATGATGCAAATGAAAATACATAATACTGTAACAAATCCAGAATTCTACTTTTGCAATATTTAAAAAATATATGTAAAGATATACCTGCAAAATTCAAGCAAACTCCAAGTGGTTGTGTCTTCCAAGCATTAGAAATCCAATAGAAATTTCTGTTAACAGGGTATGAGATGTTTCTTCTCTGTAGATGCCTATTGCTTCATGATGAGTCCAATTGAAACTTCCACTTCACCATCTTTTCCCTGCTGTCTTTGCATCTTTTCCCTGCTGTCAGAGCCATTCCAAACATGAGTTACCACATTTGACAAATCCTACCTTGCTCTATCAAATTAAATATTTTTATTAATAATTAGGCAATTTTCTGTTGCTGAATGCTCAGCTGTAAATTTGAGTTGATGCGGACTTTGTCTATCATCTGTAACTTCCTTCAGATAATTAATCTTTCTAAACCAGAGGTCTCCAAACTTGGCAACTTTAAGACTTGTGGACTTCAACTCCCAGAATTCTCCAGTCAGCTAAATTTCTTAAAGTTGCTAAGTTTGGGGACCCCTGTTCTAAACATTCCATCACTGAATGCCAGATATATTATATTTTCACATCTTGATTACATCAGCTAATTCAGATTATGAATTCAGCTAATGTTTAGTTAATGGGGATCACTATAAGAAAATGAAGTGGCTTATTCTAACTTTCTAAATTCTAACAAAATGTACGTTTTAAGCATAAATCATCTCTGGATATACATGTATATTTTCATCTTGATCAGTATAATAATTACTATAACTTGCATCTAGCTGTCTGCATATTGCTAATCCATTAGTACCTTTTTGCTGGATTGCTTTTAAATTCTTTTGTAAAATTGTCCTAATGATACATTTTATAAATATAAGCTTACAATTTTTGATCAAAAATTGACCTTCATTTTTTTTCTAATATAAGATACAGCATTACTTTTCATACAAAATGACTTAATTGAGTATTTCTTTTTATGCATTATTTTCTAGAGGAACTAGTAGATAAAGAAAGTTCTTGGAGGAAAACTGCAAATCAGAATATAGATGAAAGCATACAAGAGATGAGAAACATGATTCCCAAAACAAAACCTCTGCATCCTGATGAAAGTGATGATGTCGTCATTGAGGAATTTGTACCAAATGATCCAGAGCCTCCCAAAACTACTAAACCACCTGATGACATTACTCCAATGGATTTTCAGCAATTACCTAACCTTGGATTTTTAAGGACAAATTTAACCAAAAGTGACCTGGAAATTTTTTCACTGTGGAATGGTAATCTGCTGCTTTGTGGATAATACCTGGGGAAATTGGGATAATTGTTTGTGAAATCTATTAGCCAGGAAAAATTACATACAGAAACCAGAAATCAGGAAATATCACAATAAATATACACATTGTGTATGAACTTTACAAAATCTTAACTAGGACAATCCAATTTCAATTATAACAAAATGAGAAATAGTGAGAAAACCATGCAACTAATTATTTTAGAATTTGATTTCCAAATGGTAAAGCACTGAAAAAGTTACTGTAAGGCATCAGTTTTGTTACTTTTGCCTTTGAAATGGGCAAATGTGAAAATGCAAACAACTAGAACCAGAACCAATGAGCAATCATGAAAAAGGAAGCATTTCTACTGATACATCACTTTAGAGTTCCTAGACTGAGTACAGACACTAGGTAATATTTCAGAATACTAAGGTGCTATTCTTATTGCATTAAAAAGGTGGATATCTCCCCCAGTTAAGACCAGTTTTGGGGGATAGCCTATTTTGCATGGCAGTTTTAAACTGTTTGTGTCCTTGCTGTAGCCAGCTGGAAATAAAGACAAGTTTTAAAAAATTGCTGCCCAGATCCAATTTGTTTTTTACTTGGCAATCTAGTCAGGGCCTCTATCCAGAAGGCAGTTATCATAGTCTCTGCGTCTAATTGGCAGATTTCTCTCTTTACAAAAAACTGGTAAATTTTTTGGCAGTTTCTTCTGTTTAAAACATGTACTCTATTTCATAAAACAAAAAGAAAACCTAGCCTTTCATTGGTCCATCGTGAAAAAAGGAGGAGGAAGAGGGTCTTTCAGAAGGGGGCCAAAAACCCAGTCGCTTAGTGTGAAACAGGTAAAAAGGGGAGCCCTCCAGTCAAAACACCCAGGAGCCAACTGGAGCTGAGGCAATTGCCTAGGATTAAAAACTGAAGTTGGCATACATCACAAAGAACTACTTTCGATGTAGAACAAGAAAATACGGGTGGAAATTGCCTTCATGGTGAGCTGGAGGTGAGTTGAAGACAATATCAGATTAAAAGAGTTAGAAGGGATCTTATAGGTCATCTAGTCCAACCAGGAGACCCTACACCATTTCTGACAAATGGCAATCCAGTCTCTTCTTAAAAGCTTCTAGTGGTGAAGCTCCTACAACTTCCGAGGGCAAGTTGCTCCATTGGTTGATTGTTCTCACTGTCAGAAAATTTATCCTTATTTCCAGGTTGAATCACTCCTTGTTCAGTTTCCATCTATTATTCCTTGTTGGGCCTTCAGGTGCTTTGGAAAATAGCTTGACCCCCTCCTCTCTGTGGCAGCCCCTCAAATATTGGAAGACTGCTATCATGTCTCCCCTGGTCCTTCTCTTCACTAGACTAGCCATGCCTAGTTCCTGTGAAGTTCATTGTATGTTTTAGCCTCCAGTCCCCTAATCATCTTGGTTGTTCTTCTCTGCACTCTTTCTAGAATCTCAACATCTTTTTTATAGTGTGGTGACCAAAACGGTGTGCCCCTTGAGAAACCATCAGAGGACCATCCTTCTGCCAGGAGAGCAGGACATGTGGATCATCTTATATATATGCTTTTTTCTTGTCAATGCCATGGAAGTGACTTGCCATGTTTACATCCAGAATTTATTTATTTTTTTGCAACCTTCAGGCCTAGCATATCGCATTCCTAGAAAATCCAGTAGCAACTAGAAGCAATGCTTTTTTTCCCCAAGATGAAGCAGTGTCAAAAAAGTGCTGCCATCTTCTAAAAATTCTATGACTTATTCATAAAATACTACATTTTCTACAGGGAGAATATATATTAGAAAGATGCATATAATTAGAAACTTGTTACTTCATAGAGAAGCTCTGATTAGTACACATAAACTTGAGAAAAAAATGTGAAAGTAAAAAGGTGTGGAAGAATATGAAACTATGTCATGTGACCGGCTATGTATCATTTTCATAGCACTCGGGAATCATAATTTTTAAAAATCAAAATAGCATCTGCAGTGACAATCACAACACATTCTATGCACTTTTACAAATATTGCTGGCTCTCAAATGCTAATTATTTCAAGATGTTACTTTCTCTCTCTATAGAAGAAGTTATGAGACGTGCAACTGAGCAGCAGAAAAAAAAATTGACTGACACAACCGTACAAGTGGCAGCGCAATTGGTGCAAAATGAACAATGTCAAGGAAGTGGGAAAACTCCTGCTCAAAACCCTGAAACGTTTATCTTACAAGTAATCTCCATTGACTCTCCTGCAACATGCCAAGATCACACGGGAGCAAACTGTAACCCCTATCAACAGGGCGTTGCCAGCACTCCCGCCCCCACCAACGCTCCTGTACCAGCATCAAACGTCTCCCAAGCAAACGAAGCGAACCCATGTGGAGCTGCAGCTGTATCTGTCACATCCCTGAGTTATGGGGTCTTTAAAATCCCCTAGTAACTTGTTCACTTGCAGAGTTGGATTGCTCTGTCTTCAAGCAGAATAGGCACTGGTATCATATACAAGGCCAGTTGACCCAAATAAATAGATCTTTTGCCTGCTGGTTGTTCAATTTTCAATGCAGAAAACGTTCACGTTGGAGCCTAAAAACAATTATTTTAGTGAGGCACAGGGTATGTATGAAATCCAAAGAAATTCCAATGTATTTTCAAAGTGTGCATAGTTTTATTATTTAACTTAATGTGGGGAAGGGGGTGCCATGGGAATTGCTATGGACACCCTGGCAACCATAGACCACATTGCTTTTTTGTTTGTTTAGTAACACTATTTTTTGTTCAACAAAATGCAATATTAAAAATCTTCACCAATACTTGTGAACTTTGCCATGAAGAACAAAGTCCCTTTTACAACTTAGTTTTAAGTAAATGGTGCCACAGCTCTCCTAATTTTCATATCTTGTTTTATTTATATGAAAACTTTGCTAGACATCTTAGTTTTCTTTGAGATTTAAGCAGCTTTCTGAATTTAAAATCTGAATAGAAAAATATTAGTAGGTTAGGTGCCACTGAATCACACTTGACTTCTGGCAACAGCTTTTTGTATAGTATATTACTCTTCCAAGGAGGTCCCGTATTAATTTTTCTACTTGCTCCCACTAGATGGCAGCAAAGATGTCATTTCTTGTGGCATTTGTTTTCAACTAGAAATAATCAGGGGTGTCAAACTGGCGGCTGTGGGCCAGATGCATCACATGTAGGCCACACTCTCCCCAGCTCCACAAAGGGAAAAAATGTCAGGATACATAATGTGTCAGCAACATGACATGGTGAGTTTGATATCCGTGAACTACATCAACTCCTAGAATAGAGCCACCATAGCTGAGCAGCAGAAGTTCAGATGACCAGTAGATGGCAGCAAAACTATACAATAGTAGAATTCTATCTTTGCTACCACCTAATAGCCATCTAGGCCAGATATGGTTATCATTACACAATACCTAGAAAATTCTAAAATTAAATGCAATTGTTACAAAGCAGAGGTGGTATTCAGCAGGTTCTGACCAGTTCTGGAGAATTGGTAGCAGAAATTTTGAGTAGTTCGGAGAACCGGCAAATACCACCTCTGACTGGAGATTTTACAGTATCCTTTCTCTGCCACACCCACCAACCCACAACCATAGAACTGGTAGTAAAAAAAAATTGATTCTCACCACTGATTACAAAGGCTTTCTTTTGAAGGTACCTTGCACAAATTTACAGAGATGAACAATATGCACTAACAAAAATGAGTCTGACATTGTTTTACAAAATGATCATATTTTACTTAATTTGTTTTATGACAATTCATATTATCATCCCAGATCTATCCTAGAATCATTTTGTAGATATAATAAGAAAAGAATACATCTTTATATATTTATTATTTTCTAAAAGTCTACATATTTCATTACTATATTTTATTGTCTAACCATTGATAGAAAAGATCCCAAATTTTATAAAATTGTTTATCATCTTGTTCTCTAATTTCAAATGTCAATCTACTCATTTCTGCACATTCCAATATTTTCTTAATGATTTCCTCCTGTGATGGTATTTTCTCATTTTTCCAGTTTTTAGCAAATACAATCCTAGCCACTGTTAATACATTTACAATCAGGTATTTCAAGTCTTTACTATATATTTCAGGTAAAATTCCCAATAAAAATATCTCTGGTTTCAAATCTATATGCTTTTTTGTTATTTTTTCCAACCACATGTGGATTTTAGTCCAGTATTTTTTAGCATCTGCACAAGTCCACCACATATGGTAATATGAGCCAGGTGTCTGATGACATTTCCAACATTTTTCAGATTTATTCTTGAACATTCTTGCTATTCTTGTCGAGGAAAAATGCCACCTGTAAAACATCTTATACAAATTTTCTTTATATGCTGTTGACATTGTCATTTTATAATTTTGAGACCACAATTTTTGCCATTTCTCTAAATCAATCCCATATCCAAAATTCTTCCCCCAAGCAATCATAGTTTCTTTAACTTGTTCTTCTAATTTAATTTCTAATAAACATCCATACAATTTTTTAATCACCTTTTCATCAGTACATGTCAAAATCTTATCTGTCAGTCAGTTTATCATAGAAACCTTCTGTTTTAGAATCTTTATCATACCTTGAATATATTTGCGCATATGAAAACCAATTCATCTTTATACCTTGTTCCTCTAGTTTTTGTATAGATTTAAGTTCACCCTTTTCATTCAATATTTCACCATATCTAACTGTTTGTTCCTTTTTGTATATTATAGGATAAGAAAATGCTTCAATAGTTGATAGCCAGACTGGAATTTTCAAATAACATTGTCTTTTAATCTTCTCCCAGTTTAACCACAGAGACTCCCATATATAATGTCTTTTAAAATACCCCCGTGTTTTAGTTCCTTTATACCATAGAAAAGCATGCCACCCCAACAACAGATCATGTCCTTCTAATGTCAACAATCTAGTATTTCTTAATGTTATCCATTCCTTAACCCACATCAAATTTGTAGCTTGGTAATACAACTCCCAATTAGGCAAACCAAATCCTCCTCTTATTCTAGCATCTTGCAAAAGTTTTAACTTTATTCTCGCTTTCTTACCTTGCCATATATATTTCAACACAATTTTATTTAAATCTTCAAACTAGTCTTTTCCAAGCCTAATTGGAATTGTTTGAAACAAATATAAAATTCTGGGTAATATATTCATCTTGATTGTTGATATTCTCCCTATTAATGACAGTTGTAAATTTTCCCATTTCGCCAAATCTAGAGCTATCTGCTGCTTAAGTTTAATATAGTTATTCTCTTTTAGTGTAATACATCTTGCTGTCAAATGTATCCCCAAGTACTTGATCTTATTCGTGACCTGAATTTTCAATAGGTCTGCCAGTTCTGCCTTTTGTCTTGATAGCATATTCTTTGTCAAGATCTTTGTATTATCTTTATTTATTTTCAAACCATCCACCTTTCCATATGTCTCTATCTTTTCTATCAATTTTGATGCTGTTTCTAGTGGGTCTTCTAAAATGAAAACCAGATCTATGCTTGCAACTTAAATTCTTCCTTTTTAATTTTCATCCCTTTTATATTCTTTTCATCTCTAATATTTCTATTTAGCACTTTCAAAGTTAACACAAACAACAGAGGTGATAGTGGGCACCCTTGTCTTGTTCCTTTTCTTATATCGATAGAGTCTGTCAGTTCTCCCTCTATCATTACCTTTGCCGTTTGCTTATGATATATAGCTTCTATTGCTTGAATAAATTTTCTAGCAAAGCCCATCTGTTCCAGCAGTAATAACATGAATCGCCAATTCACATTATCAAAGGTATCAAGTAGTCAAATGATTGATTAATTATGATATTAATGTATTTAATATTTGATTGAAAATACGAGATTATATACAATGTAATTATAATTGAAGACTATGAAATGGAAGCACAAAACAATTTGTAAACCAACTGGCACACTGTACGTACATATATGGAAGATGACTTGATGTTTTTATGTTTTGTTTGTTTATGTTTATTTTAAAAACCAATAAAAATTTTTTTTTAAAAAAAATGAGTCTGACATTAAGGTGATAGCTCTTTTTATTAAAAAGATATATGTAATTTGCTTGATTTGCTAAAGATGACAGAATCTAATAATGACTATATTTTTTAAAATTACTCTGACAGCTAATGAAAATAGAAAAATGAGAATCAGTTGACAAAGTATTGATATAAAGTAGTGACTAAATGTGCAACTGCATTTGAAATATTTTCAAACAGAAAATGTCTAGGAGACATTTTAATATGTATAAGACATATTAATATGTATTGTGCAAACTATGAAAAAGTATTTGGCAGCAATCTTCAAAGTAGGATCAAATTGATCTGATAGTAGCAATTTGAGATAGAAAGAATAAATATCTATAGACTTAAATGCTTAAAGCAAGCTCATTTCACAGAAATGTCCTCAATGGGGTAGAGTTGCCAAAAAGTAGAAGCAAAATCATGGTTGGATGTCTCCCTCTTGATAAACACAATTTGTAAGGAGATAATGTTAGCATATACTTTATAACTAGCCACACTTTTATCTAGACACAAAGCCTTGGTAATAAACAATATGACCTAGGCATTTTAAATATTGTCCAGATTTTTCAGTTTTCTCTCTGTTGAAAGCCCCCCCCCATTCCAGAAGAATGAAATATTTTAGGGAATATTAAAAGAGGCAGAATATTGTATTTTCCCAAATGAAGAAAAATGCTCTTAGAGGCAGAAAGCAACCCCAATTTAAATTGCCTGAAATCCTTAAGAGATAGATATTTTGTGCCCATTAAGAAATCCAGGCCATCCTATTCACAAATAAAACACCGCCATCTCCAGCGATGGGATTAAAATTTACACACACCCCCACTCAAATTCTAAGGACAGGGCATGATCTTTTAGGACATAATAGGATTAATCCACCACCATTAGAATATCAAAAGACACAAGGCTCACTACATTGCACAACCCCCAGCAGCATTTCAGAAACTATATAAAAATCCTTGCACTCATCAATAGCAATAGCACTTGGACTTATATACTGCTTTACAGTGATTTACAGCCCTCTCTAAGTGGTTTACAGAGTCAACATATTGCACCTAACAATCTGGGTCCTCATTTTACCAACCTTGGAAGGATAGAAGGCTGAGTCAACCTTGAGCCTGATGAGATTTGAACTGCCAAATTGCAGTCAGCCAGCAGTCAGCAGAAAGCAGCAGCCTGCAGTACTGCACTCTAACCACTGTGCCACTGTGGCTCATCAAGCTAGTTTCTTAGCTGTCCCAGAACCACATGCTGGTTCTGCTCAACAATAAACAGAATCTTTCTTCCCAACCAGCCTACATTTTATTTTCAGCACCTTTCTCCCTGCTTGGAACTGAACCAGACAGATTTTTCTTCTTACATCTGGTTTTAGTTTTTCTGCTG